AAAAAAAAAAAGTATCTGCAACAAACAACTTAAAGATTTTACAATAAATTTAGATAATAAAAAGCTGTACTGTACTATAGATAATTAGATTAAAAAAAACCAAATTTCAGAAGCCTTCTTTTCCAGTGTCTTTTCAGCCTCCTTCTTTTTCGGTCTTTATTTTTAAGCCAGTCTGGCAAAGTTGTTAACAGCTATTTGAAGCAGTGAAAAATTGAGTGTTTTTTCTACGATAAAAATAGAATTAAAATTCATAGTAAAAAAGAAATGCTAAGGAAAAAAGAACAAAAGAAACTGCATTATACTGAGCGAAGCAACAAAAATGGTTGTAAAAAAAAGAGACATCTGTATCAAATAAGCAAATTTTCTGTACTACAGATAGCTGCTATAAAAAAAGCTAATGATTCCCGTACCAGGAGAGATTATTTTTGGTATTTATTTGCCAATTTTCAGCATAATACTTAAATTGCTGTATTTGAAAGAATCTGTATCATTAATTTTAGCCTCAAAATACTCTAGTCAAAAATTACATGATCATATCATTTGCATGTTTCTATTTCGTTTTTAGAACACTTTTCAAGGAACATTACTGTCTAAGTAACAGTAAGTTGCAATTGGATCAGTACCAAATATTTATCAAAATCTTTAGTCAATGTTTCAAAGTTTGTACTTTGCATGTGTTTATATATATGTACATGTATACATCTACGAATATTTCCTTGGAAATCTGGTGTATAAATCAAAATACGAAACGTTTTACAAATTAACACTGACGGATACTGTAGGCAGATGTATCACCAACAACAATGGTTTTAAAAGAACATTTTTAAGTGTTTTGTCAAACAAAAAAGTATCTTCTGTATGAGAAACTGATAAAATATACCAACTCGTGCTACGGTAATGCAGCAGTAAACAAGAACAAAACTGTTCAGCCAATAGTAACCTTTTTTCAAGGTTAAAAAGTCAATAAGTGAAAAAAAATAAACTGTTCAAATAAGAAAGAATATAAAAATGCAAAAAGTATAGAAAACTGTCTGGTTTAACAAATTATGATATCTAATTTGGTAGAAATTTTAGCCATCATTTTTTTCTTGATTCTATCAAATGTTTCTTATTTTTTTCCAGCTATTTTATCTGCACATATTGCTGATTAAACAGTCCAACTAAGCAGTATCTTCTGCAGTTTACAACCTTCAAATGATATACCGTTAAAGCAGAAATACTTGCTCAAAGAGTTTGTAAGGAGTATTGAAAAGTATTGAAAAAAGTAACTACACCTTGCTTGACGACGAGAATTTGAATGATAAGAGAAAATGTACTTTAAAACAGCTCTTTGTTTACTGTTCGTTTCATTAAAATATTATTTCTTTTTCTGATAATTATTAATTACCTCTCATAAGTTTGGTTTATAATTACACAAAAACAGCCTAATTATTATAGCTTTTTTGAGGGTGAGCTTTTTAAGCAGTTTTGTTTCTGCCATTCAATTGAATATAGAGAGAAATTATTCTGGTAACAAATTTAGTACAATTTGCCTTCTTGACATACAAAAAATATTGCTAAAAAATTTCAAGAAAACGTATGCTTCATCACTAAAAAAATTAACCAAAAGCAAAATGACAGTTTTTGTTCGAAGTATAGCTTTTTTACCGATATTAAACAGTACTTCTAATGTTTTTTTTAGTCTTTTCTTGACTTTTTTCTATGTGCATCTTTCTTTTTGATCATTAAAACTTGACACAAAGTTCACCAATTTACAAAACATAACGATCGCCACATTTTGATATATCATTCAACAAAAGTACTAAAATTAGGCGTATATCAAATGTGATATATCAGTGGCACTTTTTTATCGACAGCCCAAAGTTTTTAGGTTTCCTTCAAAAACAAATTTTTCTTCTACACAACATTTCATTTTCCCTTTTTTTTTTTGCTGCCAACAATGAATAGTAATTCTGACAAAAAAATCCTCCTCTCACCTCATTCTTTGCCAGCTTACCTATTTTCCGACCTCTACTAATTTTTCAAATTTTTTGCCGCAATAGAAGCCAAATTAATTAAGCACGAAAGTACCATAAAAATTAATATCATTAATCTCAGTTTAGATAAGTTCAATTTTATTTGCTTCACAAAAGTGCAGTATTGTATTTACAATATCTTCGGCCTGCGGATGATTACATCTTTCCATAATATCGGTTGCCTCCTTCAACTGCTCCCTACAACATATCAGTAATTTAATTTCCAAAGAAAGAAAGAAGAAGCAGTAAAGCAAAAACAGTAATCCTTTGTGGCAATATCTGTTAATTTATGAAAAAACATTGTCGAAAGTTGTCTGAAATCTTAAAAAACGTTAACGAACCAGCAAACAACAAAGAATATTACTTGGTTGCTTTATTTTCAAAAAGATTTTTAACTATCCCAATAACAGCAGCCTTTTTGCCTTCCCATTGTGATGGAATTTGCTC